ACTTCTGTTTAGGGCTGTCATGGGTACACCTCTGTTAAGGGCTGTCGTTGGTACACTTCTGTTTAGTGCCATCATGGGTACACCTCTGTTTAGGGCTGTGGTGGGTACATCTCTGTAAGGGCTGTTGTTGGTACACTTCTGTTTAGGGCCATCATTGGTACACCTCTGTTTAGGGCTGTGGTGGGTAAAACCTTTCTGTTTAGGGCTGTCGTGGGTGCACCTCTGTTAAGGGCTGTCGTTGGCACACTAATGTTTAGGGCTGTCATGGGTACACCTCTGTTAAGGGCTGTCGTTGGTACACTTCTGTTTAGGGCCATCATGGGTACACCTCTGTTTAGGGCTGTGGTGGGTACATCTCTGTTAAGGGCTGTTGTTGATACACTTCTGTCTAGGGCCATCATTGGTACACCTCTGTTTAGGGCTGTGGTGGGTTAAACCTTTCTGTTTAGGGCTGTCGTGGGTGCACCTCTGTTAAGGGCTGTCATTGGCACACTAATGTTTTGGGCTGTCGTGGGTACACCTCTGTTAAGGGCTGTCGTGGGTACACCTCTGTTAAGGGTTGTCGTGGGTACACCTCTGTTTAGGGCTGTTATGGGTACACCTCTGTTTAGGGCTGTCGTGGGTACACCTGTTAAGGGTTGTCGTGGGTACACCTCTGTTTAGGGCTGTTATGGGTACACCTCTGTTTAGGGCTGTCGTGGGTACACCTCTGTTAAGGGCTGTCGTGGGTACACCTCTGTTAAGGGTTGTCGTGGGTACACCTCTGTTTAGGGCTGTCGTTGGTACACTTCTGTTAAGGGCCATCATGGGTACACCTCTGTTTAGGGCTGTGGTGGGTACATCTCTGTTAAGGGCTGTTGTTGATACACTTCTGTCTAGGGCCATCATTGGTACACCTCTGTTTAGGGCTGTGGTGGGTAAAACCTTTCTGTTTAGGGCTGTCGTGGGTGCACCTCTGTTAAGGGCTGTCGTTGGCACACTAATGTTTTGGGCTGTCGTGGGTACACCTCTGTTAAGGGTTGTCGTGGGTACACCTCTGTTTAGGGCTGTTATGGGTACACCTCTGTCTAGGGCCATCATTGGTACACCTCTGTTTAGGGCTGTGGTGGGTAAAACCTTTCTGTTTAGGGCTGTCGTGGGTGCACCTCTGTTAAGGGCTGTCGTTGGCACACTAATGTTTTGGGCTGTCGTGGGTACACCTCTGTTAAGGGCTGTTGTGGGTACACCTCTGTTAAGGGTTGTCGTGGGTACACCTCTGTTTAGGGCTGTGTTGGCACACTAATGGGTACACCTCTGTTAAGGGCTGTTGTGGGTACACCTCTGTTAAGGGTTGTCGTGGGTACACCTCTGTTTAGGGCTGTTATGGGTACACCTCTGTTTAGGGCTGTCGTGGGTACACCTGTTAAGGGTTGTCGTGGGTACACCTCTGTTTAGGGCTGTTATGGGTACACCTCTGTTTAGGGCTGTCGTAGGTACACCTCTGTTAAGGGCTGTCGTAGGTAAACCTCTGTTAAGGGCTGTCGTGGGTACACCTCTGTTAAGGGCTGTCGTGGGTACACCTCTGTTAAGGGTTGTCGTGGGTACACCTCTGTTTAGGGCTGTAGTGGGTACACCTCTGTTACGGGCTGTCGTTGGTACACTTCTGTTAAGGGCTGTCGTGGGTACACCTCTGTTAAGGGTTGTCGTGGGTACACCTCTGTTTAGGGCTGTTATGGGTACACCTCTGTTTAGCGCTGTCGTGGGTACACCTGTTAAGGGTTGTCGTGGGTACACCTCTGTTTAGGGCTGTTATGGGTACACCTCTGTTTAGGGCTGTCGTAGGTACACCTCTGTTAAGGGCTGTCGTAGGTAAACCTCTGTTAAGGGCTGTCGTAGGTACACCTGTTAAGGGCTGTCGTAGGTACACCTTATAAGGGCTGTCGTAGGTACATCTCTGTTTGATTCCAACCCTGTGTGATCTACCATTCATTGACAAAATTGTATGTTTTTTCAGTCGTCAGTTTCGTAACTAAAACAAAACAATAAATACTTTTTTTTTGTCACAAGTTAGCAGCAACATTGTGTACCAACAATAAACACATTGACTTGCACATGCACAACAGGAAGTAATATCATTCGAAAAGCCTGTGATGTTATCCATATGAAATAAGAAAGCTTTCACATGTTGATGTTTTTAGTCTGCAATGAAACATGGTGATGAGTTAACCAAATGATAACAATGTTGTCTGGTAACATTACAGTGAACTGTTAATATGTAGCTGATGATATTCATGGATGATTTGATTGAACTATATTGGTGGTCAGTAAAGATAGTGTAAAATTGAATTCCTACAGTGATTTAAAATTTCAGAAGATATCTGTTATTCCTGTACACCAGTCCACAGACTGAATGTTAATACTAAATCGGGACAACTATGAAATATCAGCCCTGCCAAATTCCTGGGTGGTGATTGAGTCGGATATGTTATACTTGTATAGGCATACACATCTTAAATGGTACGGAATGATTACTTGAGTGCATGTTCAAAAGTCATAGGGTCAATACTTACTACGCTCATGAAAGTTTTATCTTCAGCTTCTCAATTATTGCAATTAAACTCGGTGACTTAAGTATTAATAGCCGAAGAGGATTGAACAGAATTGAAAAAAAATGTGGTCCCTAAGTACCCACCTGGGACCACAGGATGGGGTTAAAAATGTGCTAAAATACGTGAAAAATGTTTTTCTTTAATCAGAGGCCAAACTGAAGTAAGCACTCATGGTTATAATGTCAAAGAGTGGCTTCAGCGGATGGAAGAAATTCTTATTCTGTAGATATTATAGCCTTCAGGGCTGGAGAAATTCTTGTTCTGTAGATATTATAGCCTTCAGGGCTGGAGAAATTCTTGTTCTGTAGATATTATAGCCTTCAGGGATGGAGAAATTCTTGTTCTGTAGATATTATAGCCTTCAGGGATGGAGAAATTCTTGTTCTGGATATTATAGCCTTCAGGGATGGAGAAATTCTTGTTCTGTAGATATTATAGCCTTCAGGGCTGGAGAAATTCTTGTTCTGTAGATATTATAGCCTTCAGGGATGGAGAAATTCTTGTTCTGTAGATATTATAGCCTTCAGGGATGGAGAAATTCTTGTTCTGGATATTATAGCCTTCAGGGATGGAGAAATTCTTGTTCTGTAGATATTATAGCCTTCAGGGATGGAGAAATTCTTGTTCTGTAGATATTATAGCCTTCAGGGCTGGAGAAATTCTTGTTCTGGATATTATAGCCTTCAGGGATGGAGAAATTCTTGTTCTGTAGATATTATAGCCTTCAGGGCTGGAGAAATTCTTGTTCTGTAGATATTATAGCCTTCAGGAATGGAGAAATTCTTGTTCTGTAGATATTATAGCCTTCAGGGATGGAGAAATTCTTGTTCTGTAGATATTATAGCCTTCAGGGATGGAGAAATTCTTGTTCTGTAGATATTATAGCCTTCAGGAATGGAGAAATTCTTGTTCTGGATATTATAGCCTTCAGGGATGGAGAAATTCTTGTTCTGTAGATATTATAGCCTTCAGGGATGGAGAAATTCTTGTTCTGTAGATATTATAGCCTTCAGGGATGGAGAAATTCTTGTTCTGGATATTATAGCCTTCAGGGATGGAGAAATTCTTGTTCTGTAGATATTATAGCCTTCAGGGCTGGAGAAATTCTTGTTCTGTAGATATTATAGCCTTCAGGAATGGAGAAATTCTTGTTCTGTAGATATTATAGCCTTCAGGGATGGAGAAATTCTTGTTCTGTAGATATTATAGCCTTCAGGGATGGAGAAATTCTTGTTCTGTAGATATTATAGCCTTCAGGGATGGAGAAATTCTTGTTCTGTAGATATTATAGCCTTCAGGGATGGAGAAATTCTTGTTCTGGATATTATAGCCTTCAGAGATGGAGAAATTCTTGTTCTGTAGATATTATAGCCTTCAGGGATGGAGAAATTCTTGTTCTGTAGATATTATAGCCTTCAGGGCTGGAGAAATTCTTGTTCTGTAGATATTATAGCCTTCAGGGATGGAGAAATTCTTGTTCTGGATATTATAGCCTTCAGGGATGGAGAAATTCTTGTTCTGTAGATATTATAGCCTTCAGGGATGGAGAAATTCTTGTTCTAGATATTATAGCCTTCAGGGATGGAGAAATTCTTGTTCTGTAGATATTATAGCCTTCAGGGCTGGAGAAATTCTTGTTCTGTAGATATTATAGCCTTCAGGGATGGAGGAATTCTTGTTCTGGATATTATAGCCTTCAGGGATGGAGAAATTCTTGTTCTGTAGATATTATAGCCTTCAGGGATGGAGAAATTCTTGTTCTGTAGATATTATAGCCTTCAGGGATGGAGAAATTCTTGTTCTGTAGATATTACAGCCTTCAGGGGTAGAGAAATTCTTGTTCTGTAGATATTATAGCCTTCAGGGATGGAGAAATTCTTGTTCTGTAGATATTATAGCCTTCAGGGATGGAGAAATTCTTGTTCTGTAGATATTATAGCCTTCAGGGATGGAGAAATTCTTGTTCTGTAGATATTATAGCCTTCAGGGATGGAGAAATTCTTGTTCTGTAGATATTATAGCCTTCAGGGTTGGAGAAATTCTTGTTCTGTAGATATTATAGACTTAGGGTTTGGAGAAATTCTTGGTCTGGATATTATAGCCTTCAGGGGTAGAGAAATTTTTAGTCAAAGTCAAAATACTTCTGATCCTAGGTCAAAGGTCAGTGAGACTTGAATAGTAAAACTGCCATTTTTCTTAAAAAATGTCAAACTGCCAATTTTACTCTTTCCTTTTTTTTTGAATCTAGGTAAATGTATTTATTTTGTCACACTTAATACCATGTTGGTAATCAATATTAACAGTTATATTATGCAATTTTTCTAATTTCAGAGCTCCATTTATTTTTGGAATTGCTAAGTTTGTCTTTGTTGTATTATAGAGTAATTTATATGGCACTGTTTGGTATTGCAGAGCACCAGAGATCCTCTTGGGCTTGCCTTTCTGTGAAGCAATTGACATGTGGTCTTTGGGATGTGTGATAGCAGAACTTTTCCTGGGATGGCCTCTGTATCCGGGTTCTTCAGAATATGACCAGGTAAGTTGTATAAAATCTCCCTGGTTTGTAAATGTGAATTCCCTATGAACAGAAGAAGGTAATGGATATTACTTTTATCACACTGAAATAAGCTGAAATGGGCAATACAGTACCTCCAACTCAAAACCTCATTACAGGACAAAGACACCTATTTCTTCATGCTTGGAAAAGATATTCGTGGGCTTATTAACAGACCGGGAGCTATCGTCAGATACATGGCCATGTCTGTGTTGAGGGTTGAGAACTGCTTATAAACCAAGTGCTATTGCAAGTGTTATTATGATGATGAACTAAAAAGCTGTGGCACTCGGCTTGCAGACAGCATTATGGAAACTTTAGAATTGATTAACTGCTTTTAAGGTTTGGCACCTTCCTCTTTGTCTTATCCTTATGTAAGCTTCAGAAAGGGGAGATAATGTCTTGTCTGATTGACTCAGCTGCCTCTGCAGAAACATCACACATTGGTAAACATTTTAACCCTATCTAAAGCAGCTATTGAAACAATCGAGTAGATGTTCAGGGGCCCTGTCTAGGATTGTTTACTGGTCAGACAGGAAAGTTGTAGTCCTCTGCTGTGTTTATCTACAATGAGTAAATCTGTACACAAATATTGACTGAGGGCTTCAGTTATTTCTTAAATCACCAACCATATGTAAATTTGCAATCAGGTGTGTTTATGCCTTTGTTTGTATTGAATCTTTTAATGTTTGTTTTGTTCAAGCTGAAAAATTTTATTTGTACATGCATTATGAGGTGCCTTCCTGATTTTATTGCAGTGAAACAGATTTCAGTCGATTTGTCCATATCAGACTAGTTCTAATCCATTGATGTACATACTTAAAACAGGGAAACCGTTATTGTAGTTTGACTTTTGCTTTAACAATCTTTTTGTCAAAAGAACAAAAATATAAGAAGAAAATAAGGTAAAATTTGCAGGTGAAACTACTTTAAATGTTGTCCATCTGTTTCTCTGGTGTAGAAACTGATGAAGCATTGTTGTTTGTTTCCTTATTGCTGAAGCTGATAAGATGCTGTCCATCTGTAGCTCCATTGTAGAACCTGATAAGATGCTGTCCATCTGTAGCTCCATTGTAGAACCTGATAAGATGCTGTCCATCTCTAGCTCCATTGTAGAACCTGATAAGATGCTGTCCATCTGTAGCTCCATTGTAGAACCTGATAAGATGCTGTCCATCTCTAGCTCCATTGTAGAACCTGATAAGATGAACCTGATAAGATGTTGACCATCTGTAGCTCCATTGTAGAACCTGATAAGATGTTGACCATCTGTAGCTCCATTGTAGAACCTGAAAAGATGCTGTCCATCTGTAGCTCCATTGTAGAACCTGATAGGATGCTGTCCATCTGTAGCTCCATTGTAGAACCTGATCAGATGCTGTCCATCTGTAGCTCCATTGTAGAACCTGATAAGATGTTGACCATTTATTGCTCCATTGTAGAACCTGATAGGATGCTGTCCATCTGTAGCTCCATTGTAGAACCTGATCAGATGCTGTCCATCTCTAGCTCCATTGTAGAACCTGATAAGATGCTGTCCATCTGTAGCTCCATTGTAGAACCTGATAAGATGAACCTGATAAGATGTTTACCATCTGTAGCTCCATTGTAGAACCTGATAAGATGTTGACCATCTGTAGCTCCATTGTAGAACCTGATAAGATGTTGACCATCTGTAGCTCCATTGTAGAACCTGATAAGATGTTGACCATCTGTAGCTCCATTGTAGAACCTGATAAGATGTTGACCATCTGTAGCTCCATTGTAGAACCTGATAAGATGCTGACCATCTGTAGCTCCATTGTAGAACCTGATAAGATGTTGACCATCTGTAGCTCCATTGTAGAACCTGATAAGATGTTGACCATCTGTAGCTCCATTGTAGAACCTGATAAGATGTTGACCATCTGTAGCTCCATTGTAGAACCTGATAAGATGTTGACCATTTATTGCTCTGTTGAAGAACCTGAAGAAACGTTCTTTATCTGTTTTTCTGTCGTTAAATCTGATTGTGTGTTGTTTAACCTGATGTAATGTTTTCCATCTGTTGTCGTCTACCTGTTGCTCCTTTGAAGATCTTGATAAAATGTTGTCCACCTGTTGCTCCTTTGAAGAACTTGATAAAGTGTTGTCCATCTATTGCAGATTCGATATGTCTCACAAACACAGGGGCTACCTGCTGAACACATGCTAAGTGCTGCTACAAAGACTACACGGTTCTTCATTCGAGAAAACACTGATAGTAACTACCCATTCTGGAGATTAAAGGTAGGTCACTGTACTGTAAATACCATGAATTTGAGACCAAGATTGCATCTGGGATGAGAAATAAGGATGCTGGTACATCGGTTTATAATTGATTAGCAGTATTTCAAGTGACCTGCATTTTAATTGTCTTTTACTAGATCTTTTCTTGTCACAGGTAATGTGTTGTACTCTCTGTATATTGGAACAAAGTGAGAAACAGTTTGAGCATCTTGCTAGGAACATTGTTTTTATTTACATGTATTGATGTGACATGTGACAGACTGACAACACTTGTTGTAGTGATGTGACTTGTGACAGACTGACAACACCTGTTGTAGTGATGTGACTTGTGACAGACTGACAACACTTGTTGTAGTGATGTGACTTGTGACAGACTGACAACACTTGTTGTAGTGATGTAACCTGTGACAGACTGACAACACTTGTTGTAGTGATGTGACTTGTGACAGACTGACAACACTTGTTGTAGTGATGTAACCTGTGACAGACTTACAACACTTGTTGTAGTGATGTGACTTGTGACAGACTGACAACACTTGTTGTAGTGATGTGACTTGTGACAGACTGACAACATTTGTTGTAGTGATGTGACTTGTGACAGACTGACAACACTTGTTGTAGTGATGTAACCTGTGACAGACTGACAACACTTGTTGTAGTGATGTGACCTGTGACAGGCTGACAACACTTGTTGTAGTGATGTGACCTGTGACAGACTGACAACACTTGTTGTAGTGATGTGATCTGTGACAGACTGACAACACTTGTTGTAGTGATGTGACTTGTGACAGACTGACAACACTTGTTGTAGTGATGTGACTTGTGACAGACTGACAACACTTGTTGTAGTGATGTGACCTGTGACAGACTGACAACACTTGTTGTAGTGATGTGACTTGTGACAGACTGACAACACTTGTTGAAGTGATGTAACCTGTGACAGACTGACAACACTTGTTGTAGTGATGTGACCTGTGACAGACTGACAACACTTGTTGTAGTGATGTGACCTGTGACAGACTGACAACACTTGTTGTAGTGATGTAACCTGTGACAGACTGACAACACTTGTTGTAGTGATGTGACTTGTGACTACACCAGGTGTTGTGGTAATGTCTAGTCTGATTTTAGCAATAATTGAACTTTTCAGACTCCAGAAGAACATGAAGCAGAAACCAAGATCAAGTCAAAAGAAGCAAGGAAATACATCTTCAACTGCCTGGATGACATGGCACAGGTAGCTAGGGTAAAATTATTGTTCCACTACATACTAGGTAACACTGTAATATGTTGTGTGTCTTCGTCTGAGATTTGTACTGTACTAATCAGAGGTATTATATATTTACACTAAGTAACCCTTTGTGTGTCTTCATCCTAGATTTGTACTGTACTCATCAGAAGTATTATATATTTACACTAAGTAACACTGTTGTGTGTCTTCGTCCTAGATTTGTACTGTACTCATCAGAAGTATTATATATTTACACTAAGTAACACTGTTGTGTGTCTTCGTCCTAGATTTGTACTGCACTAATCAGAAGTATTATATATGTACACTAAGTAACACTGTGGTGTGTCTTCGTCCTAGATTTGTACTGCACTAATCATAAGTATTATATATATTTACACTAAGTAACTCTGTTGTGTGTCTTTGTCCTAGATTTGTACTGCACTATTCAGAAGTATTATATATTTACACTAGATAACACTATTTTGTGTCTTTTTTTCAAGAGAGGATTCTTGAAAAATGATTTCCAGTGTCTGGAAACATTTCATTAGAAAGACCAGGAGGTTATATTTGAAGGAGGAAAATTATTTCTAAGTTTATGTGAAGGACTTTTAAATTGGTTCTTGAGTCGATATACATAAGGAAATCAAGGGAAGATTTGACACATTCTTGATAAACAAGGAAGTATGATATTGCCTTACAGATCAATGTGCCAACCGACTTGGAAGGGAGTGAACTCTTGGCAGAGAAGATAGACAGGAAGGAATTTATTGACCTTCTGAAGCGAATGTTGACACTTGATCAGGAGCGTCGCATTATGCCGGGGGAGGCTCTTAATCATCCTTTTGCCACCATGGCACACCTTATTGAATATGCCTGTAGTAGCATGTAAGTAAAGCAGATTACACACAGACAAAACTCAATCATCCTTTTGCCACCATGGCACACCTTATTGAATATGCCTGTAGTAGCATGTAAGTAAAGCAGATTACACACAGACATAACTCAATCATCCTTTTGCCACCATGGCACACCTTATTGAATATGCCTGTAGTAGCATGTAAGTAAAGCAGATTACACACAGACATAACTCAATCATCCTTTTGCCACCATGGCACACCTTATTGAATATGCCTGTAGTAGCATGTAAGTAAAGCAGATTACACACAGACATAACTCAATCATCCTTTTGCCACCATGGCACACCTTATTGAATATGCCTGTAGTAGCATGTAAGTAAAGCAGATTACACACAGACATAACTCAATCATCCTTTTGCCACCATGGCACACCTTATTGAATATGCCTGTAGTAGCATGTAAGTAAAGCAGATTACACACAGACATAACTCAATCATCCTTTTGCCACCATGGCACACCTTATTGAATATGCCTGTAGTAGCATGTAAGTAAAGCAGATTACACACAGACATAACTCAATCATCCTTTTGCCACCATGGCACACCTTATTGAATATGCCTGTAGTAGCATGTAAGTAAAGGAGATTACACACAGATTAACTCAATCATCCTTTTGCCACCATGGCACACCTTATTGAATATGCCTGTAGTAGCATGTAAGTAAAGCAGATTACACACAGACATAACTCAATCATCCTTTTGCCACCATGGCACACCTTATTGAATATGCCTGTAGTAGCATGTAAGTAAAGCAGATTACACACAGACATAACTCAATCATCCTTTTGCCACCATGGCACACCTTATTGAATATGCCTGTAGTAGCATGTAAGTAAAGCAGATTACACACAGACATAACTCAATCATCCTAACATGACCATGCCTACAAAGTAGGGCAGGGGAGACATATAATCATTCTATTAATGAGGATGTGTTACATATGTATGTTCTTAGGGTGAAGCAGAGTGTTCAAGCTATGGAGATTTGTCGGAGAACTGTGAAAAGTATATTTGATATCAATCAAAATGGTGGTGGCCTTATGTCTAATCTGGTACCCACATCCACGGCCAGTCTGACAGTGACTTTTAACAACCAGATCAATGCCCTACACACGCAGGTATATTATCTTCACTGAATTGTTTGGTTTCTGCTTGTGTGAGTACTTCGTAAGTAGACAAGTATAAAGCTTAACAACATTCAGTAAGAAATGGAAATACAGCATTGGAAGTACTTGTTGGTGCTAGTAGTGAAAAGTCTGACATTCCTGTATGAGGTCTGTGTTTTAAAGTCAAAAGCAATAGGAGAAATGTTGAATAGCAGAATTTTTTTTATATTGTTTTCAAAAGATATTTGAAACCATTGTAGATTTTCTGGAGGAGCTGTTTATATATTAAATGCACTTTAGCTAAATGAGTTACATGATTGAATTCCTTCTTTAAAGATGGCATCCCAGAACTTGGCCGCTTCTTCTCACCAGACGGCCCCCGAGCTCCAGTACCTGCCATACCCTCTACAGTCCCGGCCATATATCCCCTACCAGGCCTCACAGGTCAGCCAACCCCTCCCTGGGGCCAGCCAGCGATCCAACACACAGTTCAACAGAGCTGACCCCTTCATCCATGTATCATCTATTGTGGTACCAGGTACTCTTCAAGGTAACCACAACCTCCATTAAAGACAACTCTCGTCCATTTGTCTTCCAACATTCAATCAGTCATGACTTTACCACAGTAATGAAAAAAATGTATAATTGTTTTGTAAAATATATTTGAAAAATAAAATCATGAAAATAAGAAGTCTTTATGTTAAAGCTGACTTGTTTTCTCTGAATAAGTAAATTGTTATTACAGTACACCAGTGTTTCATACATTAAAGCATGGCCTAGTAACAGAATCTGTTTTACATGATTACCCAACGTGTATTGAAAGCCATGATTTCTAATGTTTCTAATGCCCTGTAAATGATTCTGTAAAGTTTGGATTCTGATATTGATTGGTTATCAGTTTCTCAGTATTTCTGGTTATTGCAACGTCAGAGTGAAGAATCAGGTGATATACCAACCTCAGAAATGGTCCTCATGTTGCCTGAGGGATATTATCACATTATTCTACCATAATTCCTGTCTTGGGAGCAATTTTACTCATCAATGTATTACCAAGGAACCTCTCCACAGATTTCGTTCATAGTGTTATCAAGTTTTACACCTGATTCCAAGGAGCTGGGAGGCTCTCCTGTCTGACATTTTCTTGTTAGGATCTCCAGACTTGTAATATTGGTTTACTGTCCACTTTATTGGTATGTGTTCTTTATAAACAGGTCTGAGCTCGCCCACCAGATACAACCACGTTCCCATGGTTACGCAAGCTGCTCCTACCCTACAGTTACAGCCACAGTTGATAACACAGGTAAAGATCAGTGTCTACATCAGTTCTTATGAAATGTATGGTGTACATGTAAAGTATTTTGGAATAGGAAACCATGTTACCTTGGAAACATTGTAAACAAAATTCTCTATCTTGATAGAAAGCGTCTATATATATATGGTAAGAAATATGAAGAGAAAGAAAAGGGACTCAGTTGAAGGATTAAGTAACTGGGTAACTTGTGTAGGATGGGTTTCGACATATCCATATTAATGCTTAATGTTTCTTTTCTTATTTGAGAGAATTTTGACATATTTGGATCTTGTGTGTGTAACTTCTTGTGAAGTTGCTGGGAACAACGTGCTCATGTGAAGGATTGTTTTTCGTAATGGTCATAAGAATGTACGGTTTTTTTTATTAAAAAAAACCCAAAAACTGTGCAGGGCTCTTTTATTCAGATTTTGAAATGTATTTTGTACATGTATAATATTCTGGAATAGGAAATATAAATCCTCCATCCATCCATTTGTGATGTGTATCTGATGTATAAATGTGGGTTGTATGATTGACTCATCACATCCTATACTAACGAGCACACAGTTCCTGTCACTGGAGATAAATACCTGGTTGGTTTTGTTGTAGCCGACCACACAACAGATAACGCCCGTAACAATGCTAGATGGTGGTAGACCAGTGTTAATGACAGTACGTAACACACCTGATGGATTTTTATACCATTATGGATTTTGATCTGTTTGTGTTTATATATTACTCTTGTTTTAACACCTCTGTGATGCAGTACTCATAACTATAACACTCTGACTGGACCAGCTGGTGTCCACATCAATTCCTTTTAACTTACAATTCTATCTTTTTTGATATTTTTTACTCAAAAATAAACCAAAGTCAAAAAAGCAAATCATTCTTCACTTTTAATAGATATTTATCAATTCTGTTATAAAAACAGTTTTAGAAACATTATTTAAATAAATCATAATGGAAAATAAACTCTGACAACAACAAAAACCTAGAAAGTAAAAGCTGATTTTTAAACCCAGTTCTTTTTTAGTATTCTTTTTGTCTCTTAGTTTCTTTCCCTTTTCCATTTCATTACAGTTTAGTCTTACCCGTGACGTTTTATCATGGCACCATATTGATCTGTATATCAATACATAACAAAGAATTTGGATGGGTTTTTAATGGTCTTTGATGGATCTATGAAAATACTCCTTCTTCAAAATGTATTCAGCCTTTGGAATTTTGCAGTTTTTATTCTGATGAAATTTATTTACATTCTTTTGGTATGATCAAAGCCATCTGAAGGAAACTTCTGCTGTCAGTTTGGAACTGTGACAAATGTCACTAAAAGGATTAAACCTGGTAAAAAGTCCAGAAAAACAGGTGCTAGTTTCTATAAATAACTCCCATGACAGACATGTATCATCAATATTTTACTTATAAAAGAGCGTTCAAACATTGATATCATCAATAAACATTGAATCAGATGTGTAATTAACAATTGTGGTAACCTTTTTCTTCTCTCCGGGCCTTTTGCTCTTTAATTTTTGCCAATTATTTTGGAGTTTTGTTTTTTAAATCATGCCAGAATTCTGATTGAAAGATTAATCCACACCTGAACTTTTAATATGTTCTGTAGATAGAGACCTGTGATTATGTGTTGTTATCAAGTGTGAACTAATCTCAGGTTTGCTGTAGTACTAACCCAGCAGATTAACTTACTAGTTTTAGATCTCCAGTAACTTGTATGTCACATATGCATGTTTCCACAATCAGCAGTCTTCAGTAATGTTAATTGATATAAGTATGTATCTAGGTGTCTCATTATCACAGCCCCCAGTCATTGTTCAGTAATGATAATTGATATAAGTATGTATCTAGGTGTCTCATTATCACAGCCCCCAGTCATTGTTCAGTAATGATAATTGATATAAGTATGTATCTAGGTGTCTCATTATCACAGCCCCCAGTCATTGTTCAGTAATGATAATTGATATAAGTATGTATCTAGGTATCTCATTATCACAGCCCCCAGTCATTGTTCAGTAATGATAATTGATATAAGTATGTATCTAGGTGTCTCATTATCACAGCCCCCAGTCATTGTTCAGTAATGATAATTGATATAAGTATGTATCTAGGTGTCTCATTATCACAGCCCCCAGTCATTGCTCAGTAATGATAATTGATATAAGTATGTATCTAGGTGTCTCATTATCACAGCCCCAATCATTGTTCAGTAATGATAATTGATATAAGTATGTATCTAGGTGTCTCATTATCACAGCCCCAGTCATTGTTCAGTAATGATAATTGATATAAGTATTGTATCTCATTATCACAGCCCCCAGTCATTGTTCAGTAATGATAATTGATATAAGTATGTACATGTATCTAGGTGTCTCATTATCACAGCCCCAGTCATTGCTCAGTAATGATAATTGATATAAGTATGTATCTAGGTGTCTCATTATCACAGCCCCCAGTCATTGTTCAGTAATGATAATTGATATAAGTATGTATCTAGGTGTCTCATTATCACAGCCCCAATCATTGTTCAGTAATGATAATTGATATAAGTATGTATCTAGGTGTCTTATTATCACAACCACTGTCATTTTTCAGCATCCTTTGTCTCCTCACTTCTCATATTTTTTTTTCTTAAATACTGTTGCTTTATCATTACAAAATTCTCTATTTCTCTTAAAAGGCTGGATTTGATATTCAAATCATTTAGTAAATGAAATTTATTATGCTTCAACTATGCAATTATGTTTCAATTTTGAAAAAAAAAGATTTTGAGTTTCCTCATCAGCCTGTTTTCATGTGTTAACTTTGACCCATACTCTCAGTTCTCAGGTTCAAAGTCGAAAAGCTTTATATGTTTATTAGTCTTTTTTCATCTTGCAACTTGAGATCTTTTATTGGAATAAGAGGAGAGACCTGAAACATGGTAGTTGGCCACAGAATTAGCTCAAGTGCCTACCTGGTAGTAATTGATTAAACAAAATAAGCATAATAACCCGTGTAATGTGCAGAGTTTTTCTTGAGGAAAGAAGATTGTTTGATGGTGCCATCATTGATTATCACCTTTATCTGGTACACAAAGCTGACACAAGAAAAAATGGACTATTTATTTATGAGCAACAGTGATAAAATAATTAGATGTATATATTACTGCAAACTCTCGGAGTACATCTATAATCACATTGTTCAGAAATGTGATAGCAACTAGCAAGACAGGAAACCGCAGATAGGTAAAGACAGTGGCCTGTTTGGGACACTGAAAAATATGTTGATTATAATGTGATTATCATTGGAATCACTGACATGTTTGACTGTTAAGAAATGACTTTTTCTGGGTCAATCTCCTTAACATTAGATATAGTGACATACCATGAGACTGTCTGCTTGTGGAAGTTAGCATTGCCATATTAGTATGTGGAGTGGTGATAGAGACTCTGGTTTTATTTTAGAATTGGTCTCCGTGGTGTTACGATAAATAATAATAGCTTTGATGTTTATTGTAGTGTGTTCTGAAACACAGTACACATTACTACATTCCATGCTCTGTATACGGCAAATATCTTTGTATTTTGCAAATCCAGAGACAGGGCCTCAATTTGTGTTGTTTGTTATGAGCATGATGTGACAGCAAAACATGAATAAATGTTTGATTTGTGAAGATAGTAATAACCTGATGTAGTCATTGATGGGTGGACAGTTATAAGTACCTGTGATAACAATGCTAATCACTGTTGATTAAGGTGAAGACAAGTGTTTGTGTTTGCATGATAAATCTAGACTAATTGAATAGGTGAGTGTGCAGTGAATAACTTAAGCATATAGGGAATAACTTGAGTGTACATCGAATAACCTGTCTGAAGTCAAAGATATGCATAAAGTGTTCATCAGTTGTGTTGTACCAGTAATTAAAGAGAATAATGTAATTAAAAGTCATTGAGATCAAACTTATTTGGAAGAGAATACTTTCAAGTTTTGGACTTTTTATATCATTGGTCTGACATGTCAGCCGATTATTCTTTAATTTTTTATCTTTCTGAGATATTTTTCGACTGAATTTTTGGATGCACAAATTGTGTACATTTCATTGTGAACAGAAGCATATTTTCAGCATTTTTACCAGAGAAAATTACATAGCACATTACACGGGTTTTTAACTGTTATAAGTTGAATGCAGCTACAGAGTTAGAGAGTATGTTGAACTAGTTGGCTGCTCTGTGATTCTGTACTGAGATCAGTTCCTTGTCATGTGAAATACCATGTGAACACTTGACAAGGCTGTGTAAAGCCAGGATATACTTGTCTTCTGTAACTTTTGACCAGTTTGATTGATTTGTATACTCTGTGTTTTGTTGCTTGCATTTTCATATGAAGCAGCGTTGTTAATGAAATTTTTTAGCTCATGGACCGACAGTGAGGTTGTGCTGTGGCACACTGTCAATTGTCTCCTCATTACCTTTACCAATCTGTTTAGGGAGGATGTAGAAGGAATATGTAACCTGTTTGACCTGAATCAATGATATATATACAGTATATACAGAGTAGTTATTAGAAATTTACTGAAAGTTGATGTATCTAGCCTTGAAATGTGGTACCCATATGTATTGTTGCTTAGTTACAAGGACCGGCTTGAGAGCCCTTTGGCTTCAGTTTAAAGTTCATGATACTAGTTGAGATTTGCCCCTTTTTATCACATCACAAATTACAGTCGCTGTGTATGAGGAGACAAGTACATATGTGCTACAGGATCAACTTGAGGGTTCATAAGTAGAACATTTTTTACCTGTTCTCAGCTTGCATTATTTGTTGTATTCTATATACCTTTACAAACTTTTATAAAAATGACTAAATGACCAGATGAGCTTTCAAGGCCTGGGCTTGTTATGCTAATTCAGTCAAAAAACTTCAGACTTGGATAGGTAATGATTGTTTAATCCACAAAACTTTGGTTTGTTGACAATTTCTGTATTACTCTTATTTATAGATATGTAGTAGAAATTTGCATACATTACATTTAGTGTTTGTTGTAATTTGAAATATCAAAGGCGCTCTTTATAATAACTGCGCAAATCATTCATATAAAACCTTATTTTATGCTGTTTTAGAAGTAGAAAAATTACATTCAAGATTTAGATGTTTTTAAATACTAGACTTTTATTTTTCCTGGAAAATACAAATACGATAAATGTACATTGTAAAAAGTTGTGTCATACATTTTAACAGAATGCTGCGGGAGGTGCATGGCCACATGCGGCAGCAGCAGCCGCAGCACAGCAGGTGCTTGTGGGGTCGTGGCAGCAGATCCCTGGCCTGCCAACACAGCGATCAGTCCAGCAACCCCTGCTTACAGAGACGCTGGCGTCACAGGCTCTACCAGATAGCTGGCGCCAGTCCATTGTGCTTGACAGCTTCGACCAGTCATCATTAGCACCTTTGGTAATTATGAAATCATCTGTGTTTCTTTGGAATGAAATCATGCAAGGACTTGGCACAAAAATGAAGTTTCTTATATCAACAATAATGTGAAACTACTGTTAAATAAGACTAAGTTGGTTTAACAAAGCTGGTAATAGATTTTATCCTATTGAGAAGTATCATTGTTTTGTTGGAGATTTGACAAGAAGATGTTCACAAAACTTTTACTGAAATACTTCTCTCTTTTTTTTGCCTTTTCTATGAATTCATTTTGGGCATAAAATCAAATTTCCATATTTTTACTGCATTGTAGGGGTCAACATCACAGCAATGGAACATTGGAATGGTTCCAACTACATACAGTCTGAGTGGTCAGCAGTCCTCTTCTCAGTCTAGTAAACGTCACACAAAACAGGGGTAAGTTTAGAAATACATACAGCCTGAGTGGTCAGCAGTCCTCTTCTCAGTCTAGTAAATGTCACACAAAACAGGGGTAAGTTTAGAAATACATACAGCCTGAGATGTCAGCAGTCCTCTTCTCAGTCTAGTAAACGTCACACAAAACAGGGGAAAGTTTAGAAATACATACAGCCGGAGTGGTCAGAAATTCAGTGATACATCTCATTGATAACTTGTTGGTGTGACGTTTGTAGAGACGTATTGATAACTTGTTGGTGTGACATTTGTAGAGACGTATTGGTAACTTGTTGGTGTGACGTTTGTAGATAGACGTATTGATAACTTGTTGGTGTGGCGTTTGTAGAGAGACGTATTGGTAACTTGTTGGTGTGACGTTTGTAGAGAGACGTATTGGTAACTTGTTGGTGTGGTGTTTGTAGAGAGACGTATTGGTAACTTGTTGGTGTGACGTTTGTAGAGACGTATTGGTAACTTGTTGGTGTGACGTTTGTAGAGAGACGTATTGGTAACTTGTTGGTGTGACGTTTGTAGAGAGACGTATTGGTAACTTGTTGGTGTGACGTTTGTAGTATTGGTAACTTGTTGGTGTGACGTTTGTTGAGACGTATTGATAACTTGTTGGTGTGATGTTTGTAGAGACGTATTGATAACTTGTTGGTGTGACGTTTGTAGTATTGGTAACTTGTTGGTGTGACGTTTGTAGAGACGTATTGGTAACTTGTTGGTGTGATGTTTGTAGAGACGTATTGATAACTTGTTGGTGTGACGTTTGTAGAGAGACGTATTGGTAACTTGTTGGTGTGACGTTTGTGTAACTTGTTGGTGTGATGTTTGTAGAGACGTATTGGTAACTTGTTGGTGTGACATTTGTAGAGACGTACTGATAACTTGTTGGTGTGACGTTTGTAGAGACGTATTGGTAACTTGTTGGTGTGACATTTGTAGAGATGTATTAGTAACTTGTTGGTGTGATGTTTGTAGAGACGTATTGGTAACTTGTTGGTGTGACGTTTGTAGAGACGTATTAGTAACTTGTTGGTGTGACGTTTGTAGAGACGTATTGATAACTTGTTGGTGTGACGTTTGTAGAGAGACGTATTGGTAACTTGTTGGTGTGACGTTTGTAGAGAGACGTATTGATAACTTGTTGGTGTGGCGTTTGTAGAGACGTATTGGTAACTTGTTGGTGTGACGTTTGTAGAGACGTATTGGTAACTTGTTGGTGTGACGTTTGTAGAGACGTATTGGTAACTTGTTGGTGTGACGTTTGTAGAGACGTATTAGTAACTTGTTGATATGACGTTTGTAGAAACGTATTGGTAACTTGTTGGTGTGACGTTTGTAGAGAGACGTATTGGTAACTTGTTGGTGTGGTGTTTGTAGAGACGTATAAGTAACTTGTTGGTGTGACGTTTGTAGAGACGTATTAGTAACTTGTTGGTGTGACGTTTGTAGAGAGACGTATTGGTAACTTGTTGGTGTGGTGTTTGTAGAGAGACGTATTGGTAACTTGTTGGTGTGGTGTTTGTAGAGAGACGTATTGGTAACTTGTTGGTGTGGTGTTTGTAGATAGACGTATTGGTAACTTGTTGATATGACGTTTGTAGAGAGACCTATTGGTAACTTGTTGATATGACGTTTGTAGAGACGTATTGGTAACTTGTTGGTGTGACGTTTGTAGAGACGTATTGGTAACTTGTTGGTGTGACGTTTGTAGAGAGACGTATTGGTAACTTGTTGGTGTGACGTTTGTAGAGACGTATTGGTAACTTGTTGGTGTGACGTTTGTAGAGAGACGTATTGGTAACTTGTTGGTGTGACGTTTGTAGAGACGTATTGGTAACTTGTTGGTGTGGTGTTTGTAGAGAGACGTATTGGTAACTTGTTGATGTGACGTTTGTAGAGAGACGTATTGGTAACTTGTTGATATGACGTTTGTAGAGACGTATTAGTAACTTGTTGGTGTGACGTTTGTAGAGAGACGTATTGGTAACTTGTTGATATGACGTTTGTAGAGAGACGTATTGATAACTTGTTGGTGTGGCGTTTGTTGAGATGTATTAGTAACTTGTTGATATGACGTTTGTAGAGAGACGTATTGATAACTTGTTGGTATGACGTTTGTAGAGACGTATTAGTAACTTGTTGGTGTGGCGTTTGTTGAGATGTATTAGTAACTTGTTGATATGACGTTTGTAGAGAGACGTATTGATAACTTGTTGGTGTGGCGTTTGGTAACTTGTTGGTGTGGCGTTTGTAGAGAGACGTATGTGACGTTTGTGATAACTTGTTGGTGTGGCGTTTGTAGAGAGACGTATTGGTAACTTGTTGGTGTGACGTTTGTAGAGAGACGTATTGGTAACTTGTTGGTGTGGTGTTTGTAGAGAGACGTATTGATAACTTGTTGGTGTGGTGTTTGTAGATAGACGTATTAGTAACTTGTTGGTGTGACGTTTGTAGATAGACGTATTAGTAACTTGTTGGTGTGGTGTTTGAAGAGACGTAATGATAACTTGTTGTCGTGACATTTGTAGAGACGTATTGATAACTTGTTGGTTTGGTTTGCAGAAGGACATCTATGAAAGAACCTACATCCACTCACCTATCACCAGTCAAAAAGCGAGTGAAAGAGAACACACCACCAGACTCGCTGCTCCAGCAAGACGCTGCACAGGCACTCTGTAACTGGTCCATGTCACAGGGACGAGAACAGCGACAACCCATTGTTATAGCCGATACTCCCAGTCCAGCTGTCAGCATTATCACCATCAGTTCTGATAGTGATGATGATGCTGATCATAAACACCATAGTCGCAGGTACAGGGGAAGTCAGCTTACCTAGAAATGTGTTATATAAATAAAGGGAAGTAACTCTGTTCATGTGTTAGAAAAGGTTTTTTTATTAGTCTCTAGTTTATTTAAAAGTTGCTTCAGTGTCATGACTTAATGTTCAACTGTATTAATAGTTTTCTATAACACATATGCTCTCTTTCAGAGGTAAGAATAACCAAGGAGTCCATTTTGTACAGCCTACTACACGAAATACACAAGCATTTACCTCCTCTTTGACAAGCTCTACAACAGACTCCTCTTTCGGTGAGTTTTATGGTGCATTGTCTGTCAGTGCATGTTAGTGCTTGTATCTAGTATACTTAGGCTTTGTTAAGGTAAGTGTTATGTGTACATTACCTTAGAATAGTTTTAACTTTTAAACACCTGGATGTCTGTGCTGACTAAGTTTTCAGATTGCACAGAGCAGCCTCCCAACTCCTAAAATAAAAGGGATTGTTGTAATCATGTTTGTCTGTTCTGACTCAGTTTCAGCACAATAACACAAAGTCTTGTGAGACACTTCTAACTCTACATTGACACACAGCTTCCTTACCAAACATGGATAGATCTGGATTGTTTATTACAGTACAAAAGTCCAAGTCAGTCTACATTATATCCTTTAGATTATTACAAGTGATTTCTATACAGCTTTTCTTTTTTTGTCTTTGTTAAGACACAATCTTAGACAATGATATTAAGCTTAAGAAGTGATGTGAAAATTTTGTTCTAGTAAAAAAGTTTGACTTTGTGTTTTAGACTCCCTGAGAGGAAGGAAGAACAATAACAGTGTGATAGTTGCTGATGTACAGGATATTGATTTGGAGGAGAGTATGAGTTCCTACAACAAGAAGCAGATCATCCTCACACCTATCAAACACGAGGAGGTGGAGAGGTCTACTCTAGCCACTGATCCATCGCAATACCTGTACACCAACAGTCTGGACTTACCGAGCACCACGACCACCGCCCACGTACCACCTATGATGTCCAGCAGCTTTGACACAAAGCCAAGAAAAACAAGAGAACAGGCGAAGGTCTCGCCTTACGTGGCTAACATTCCAAAGCAAGAACACTCTGTTCCTTCTTCAGTGGGGAGAAGTCACGACAAGAATCGTGGCCTGCGTAGTCCTAAACTGGAAGTGAGGCTTCCTCCACTCGAAGTGGAGATCAACAGTGCTGCTCTTCAAGGCAAACTTGCTTATGTGTCACCAACAGTACGACCAGGACATAGCTCACAGAAATTAGGGGCCACCCAGAGCATCATGTCCCAGACTGGGACTTCTGTTCTAGGAGGCAAGCACTGGTCAGGCAATATAAACTTTGGTAGTCGGCATACTTCTGGGACAAGCCAGCTTTCGCCTGTACAAGGGGGCGTCTCGCTCACACAGCCAGTGTTCCTGAGTGCTGGTACACAAATGGAATTTAACAGGTTCGTATAAAAATTATGAACCAGCTAGGAAAATACAAGTACCATTTACTAAAACATCAAAATTAGGCCTATTTTCAATGGCTTTCAAATGCGGTATAGTCATACAATAGAGTACTGTAAACCAATATTTTTTGTGGTTCTATCCAAGATCTCGTAAATACAAGCTGGTTGAAATAATTTTCATGAATTTTAAATGACCAGTGTTATATTCCAAGTGCACAGTCTTCATTTAAATCCCATAGAGAGACAAAGGTTGGTAATATGCTGTTCTTCGACTGGAATGACATTTTTCATTTCCTAAACGGGTATGTGGTACAATATCCTGACAAATCATAACAAGAATCAAAATGTAACTACAGTGTAACAGTCAGATACTAGAACTTTAGTAACCGCTCTAAATAGTCTGTGAAAAAAAATGTTGTTGGGGTGGGTTGTCCAGGTCCATCTATAATGTCCCATTCTAAGTCCATGTCATTCTGACAAATTTGTATTGTTACCTCATAACATCAATTCTACACTTTATCTGATTAAGATCAACATTTGTTGATGATAAAAAGTTAAAAACACAAAAGGTCACATTGAACATCTGTATATCAACAGTAACTGTGAGCTCCCCTGGTCCAAAGAACCAATAAGTTTATGTAATGGGGCCTAAGGGGCAGAGCCCAAAAGGGGAAATTAAGTAGGTTCTTTGAATCCTTCTTCTGTAGGAATGATAAGCTTTCTTTTTGGTCTGAAGCATTCTTTTGTGAAGTGAGACCAATTTTTATACACCACCGGAGGCAGTGGTATATTGGCATCATCTTCTTCGTCTGTCCGTCCGTGGGTACGTCCATTTCTTGTGAATGCAACTCCTCCTAAACCAATTATCAGATTTTCACGAAACTTGCTCAATGTCACTACTACAATGGGTAGATGTGCGTGAAGGGGCGATTTTTTGGTTCGTTGATTTTTGTAAGATTTATGCCATTTTCAACTTTGTATCTGTAGCTTGCTCATAGTGGAGCCTTGTGAACGCAACTCCTCCTAAAATGATCATCAGATTTTCACGAAACTTGCTCAATGTCACTACTACAATGGGTAGATATGCATGAAGGGGCGATTTTACGGTTCTTTGATTTTTGTAAGATTTATGTCATTTTCAACTTCGTATCTGTAGCTTGTTCTTAGTGGAGCTTTGTGAACGCAACTCTTCCTAAACTGATGATCAGATTTTCATAAAACTTGCTCAATGTCACTAATACATTGGTCCGATTATCATGAAGGGGTGATTTTACGGTACATTGATTTTCGTAAGATTTATGCTATTTTATCTTGATCTTTATATTTTGTGGCGGTGTATATTGTGTCCACGGCACTCTTGCAGGGCTCTACAATAACTTTTTACCTCACTTGTCCTTTTGGGCAAGTGCTTTTAAAAACCACTTGTCCGAAAAATTAATCCACTTGTCCGAATTTTCAGCAACCAATGCAATCTTACATTATGTCATAATAAGTAAGTTTTGGTTCATATACATTTTTAGAGCTATGTTTCAATGTGTGTCATTGATTGTCGCTAGCATTATATTGAAGTTTTATTTTTTTAAGTGTTGTCTTTATTTTAACTTATATAGGTAAGACATGAATATCAAGTGACGGATCTAGTAATTACCAGTGATTGAACTACATGCAGTAACCTGTTGAAAATCTCTTTGAATTGTGTTCATGTTTTTTATAAAGACTGTATTAAAATGCATGATTGAAGAATAACATAATCAGATTATAAATCCAAGAACAATCATAGGGTTGGCTTTGCATTTAGTTATATCCACTAAGTAATATTTTTTTTAATGACCGCATGTCACACTGTCGGCAAATCGAACATGACATGCCAGCAGTCTCATCAAACATCAGAACGGGATACTCAGTCAGCCATTTTTGCTGGAATGTACGCTTCCATTTTAGTTCATACTGTTTATTTTTATCCTGTTCTGGCTTTGTCTCGGTCTTTTTTTTGTTTTTTATTTGGACTATCCCCCGAGGAGGTAAAACCAAATGATATTAAATCTATCAGGACAACGTGAAAACAAATCAGGATTACCTAAAAGCTTGAAACAGCCTTTCAAAACAAACGCAAAATTGACACAGATTACAATTGTTTTCGGAACATCACTGATTTTATCGTACAGAACAATGCAAACAATGATTATTATTTTAGGCTAAGCGTTTATCTGGATGGAATTGTTTGATTATGCCAAAGAAAAAAACAACAAAAAGTGCAGTTTGGTAGAGGAATGATTTCATTGATAACAAATGATTTAGTTACTTTGCCGAAATTCACTTGTCCGATCGGACAAGTGACATAGATGTACTTGTCCGACGTGATTTTTGCACTGGTATGGACAAGTCGGGCAAGCGTTATTGTCGAACCCTGTCTTGTTTATAAAGGATGGGTCTTAACCCTCGGGGGTATTAGGGATGGGGCCCAATGTGGGAGACCATTTCTGTTAAAGATTTATGATAAAATTTGTTTGACATTTGTTAGTTAACAAAGGAAACCGATGACATTTGTTAGTTAACAAAGGAAACAGATGACATTTGTTAGTTAACAAAGGAAACTGATGACATTTGTTAGTTAACAAAGGAAACAGATGACATTTGTTAGTTAACAAAGGAAACTGATGACATTTGTTAGTTAACAAAGGAAACTGATGAAGAGAATGACACCTGTCAGTGTTGACATGTGATCATCCATAATTACCAGAACTAAAGAGCAGGAATGAGGTTCACCTTGGTAACATTGTTTTGCTGATCCAATGTAGGATTGTAGAGAGTGTATTTGTATGTTATAAGTAGAAGTGAAGAATATTTGTCTGACTTTGTGAAATTTGAATGTGATTTATATGTTACAGAGACTACCGTCGGCCTTCTGCCCTACAGGGAAGTCCAATTCACCACTACCTACTGCCTGCTCACCAACAGCCACAAGTTGCGGCTATCCCAGCTGGCATAAGTCAATATGCGCCTTTCTCCCCCAGTGTGGCTCCACCTCCGGCCCACCAGAGCCCACGTCACGTCCAATACACCACTCAGCCATTACCAGCACATGTACACCCAGTTTTGCAGTCGTCCACCCTGCCAGCTGGGCCCTACCAGCCTCAGCTGACCTCACAGTATGGAGTGGGAACTGCCACTACTGGCTTGTATGCGACTTACCCTCTCAGTCCCAACAAGGGCAGATCATATCAGTATTTCGCATGATTTCTAATCTTTGTGTATGGCAGCTGATCAACTATCTTATTCCTTGTATACAGTCCACCCTTGATTTTCTAAAATTGCAATCATGTAATTAATATGCATCGAATCTTAGAATCAGGTAGATAGACGTCTGACATTCTTACAAGTTTATATTATAAAGGTTTCATTACAGAAGATATATTATTAGAGATAAAGTAAAATTTGACTGTTTAGATAGGATTGAGAGTGATCTGTATACTGTTATATTCTAGTACTATTCCGAAGGTGCTATTAACACTGTACCAACACAGACTGAACTAAGCAAGTGTGTGCAAGCTACATACAACTGTGGGTGGTGACACCAGGCTTGTGGGTCGGTGGATTATCATCCTATATTGTGCCACCACTCCGACCAACATATTGTAGATGGTGACACCACACTGTTCCATCTTGTATAGGTGATGGCATGTCCCACGCCACATGCTCATGTTAAGATGGTGCAGCGAGGCAGTGCTTGGTTGTGATCTTTCTAATGAAGCATTTCAAAATCTTTGAAGCAGGGTTACAGAATATTGTATATTACCAATTTCAATCTTTTCACCTTTTTTTTTAAATATTATTTTGAAAAATTAATGTCATTGGATTTAGAAAATCATAAGAAGGATTTTTTAACACTAGAGGTTTACAACTGCTTAAGAGATGTTGACGTGCTTCATGGTATTTTTCAACTTTAATTATATATCTGAAAAGTTGGATCATTATCATGCTTACAAATTTAATCTTGGAACTTCTTAACCAAGGCTATCAAAATTGTCATGTTACAGATGTATGTTTATTTAACAGTGTTTCAACTTCTAAGACATGGTGGTTTATGTACGGAATTATTTATCCATCATTTAAGAGAGGTGACGGGTGAACTTAGGGAAGATTTGTTAAATCAAGCATTTATGTGGTTTATATGGCATTAGGGTCAGTAATTTATCATCATTTTAACATGTATTCTTTGTATAGTCATTATAGAATTGGAGAAGTGACTTAATTTAAAATCAATTTTAGAATGACATTTGAAAGGTGTACCAAAGAAATATTTTCGTATGCTGTAGTGAGTCTCCTAGTCACAGCTTGATAGGCACCCCTGAACACATAATCACTATTAAATATGTATTAAGTACACCCTTATTTATTAAGCAGGAGAATTTTTTTAATTATCTTTTTAGCAGATAAATCAATCTTAATTTTAAATAGGTTGGTTATATAGATTTTAGTGTTGAGAATTAAGTATTTAGAAAGGGGAGCTCCAATGCCTTTCATTGTTAAGATGACGTGTGATACAGCACATTTGTGACGAGACTACACCAAAGCTACAAGTCGAGTGCTTTGGCAAATGGCCCACAAAGTACTTTTTCTTGTCTAATAATTTTCCTTGCAAATTGGATGAAAAATTATTAGACTTAATGAAGTATATTGACAATGAGGCGATGAAATTTCATGGATAAAATCTGAAGAAAAAACCTACAGAACCTGATTTCTGTGGAGTTGTACTCTAACCAAGTGATGAATTTTACAGCGCCACAATTTGTTGGGAATGTCCTAAAGTCACTTCTGGCAATTTTTTCGAGTGAATTGGTAATTTTGAATAAGGCATCAAAGATATTTGGATGGCTTTTTTTTCAATTAAATGTTTGAGATAGATTTGCCTGGATTTCATTACCAAGTTCTATAGGTAATCTCACCATGGTACATTTCTATTTACCCAGAAAGTTAGAAGAACTTTCTCAGTGAACTGGTTCTAAGATTAATTTTGTATTAAGTCACTCAGGTTTTTTTTTATGCTAACTCATTATCAGCAGTATTTATACACATTCAATTTGATTTTGTGCAGCTGTTCTTTATCCGTGGTAATAATGTGTTGTTTTAATATGCTTCAATTTGTACAGTGTAAATTTTATCTTGTAGTGCCTGTGATGAATTGGGAGAGAAGTAAACACCACAAATACTTTATCTATGAATTGTGTATACTTTGGCTGAAGGTCAAATCATACAATATGCCAATATAATTGTAGTACGTATATTATCATATATATATATATATATATTATATCAATCAAGTGCACTATTTTTCTATCAAGTAATGAATTGTAAAGACAATATGAATATTATGTAAATTAGCATTTGTCATATTTAGTTGTAATTGTACTTGGTGCACTTTGGTCTTTCCCCTGTATTTAATGTCTTGTATCATAGCAATACCACTACTTAGTTGTCTATGTATCCATGTAGACCCTTACCTATCTTGCTTTCTGTCTAAGCCATATGTGGTGCCATTATTATTGTGTCTAATATTATAAAGGGCAGTTGGGACTTTACAAAAGTCTTTGTACAGAAATCAGAAATGAGGTATATTTTTTAACTTGGGAGAAGTTGGCAAGAAAGGAAATGACGAATGAAGTGCATGATACTGACAAGAGAAATAATTTTCTTTTTGTTTTTGGTTTTTTTTTTTCATCTGTGAAACTTTGCATAGAAAAAATTTGATGTACAGTGGGAAACTGTACGACTGTGAAGATGCAGTGGGCTATCTCGTGTTACCATTTGTATAATTAAGTGATATGTAGATAATACAATTTTTTCCCCCTTGACGAATAATGTATTTTACATACACAGATGTAAAAAGTAGCGGCCTTCGGGAACATGTTTTTGACCAGACACCCATGTTTGTGTTTATGCACATAAACCATTGTGATACTCAATGTTTGTACAAAGGCAAACATTATGCCAAAGTTTGTGTAGAATTTGTCATTGCATGGTATAATATGATGAAATGGTGAGTCTGTGTTTGTTTGTTGTATTACTGTATCTGTAGGCCAGATCATGTTTTAACACTTGCCAGTATTTGGAATGTGAATAGTCTTTCATAACCTATTTCCTTGTTGTTCAGTCTTATTTTAATGGGGTTGTTTCCCCCTCAAATCTTTTTCGCTCACCTGACCTGAAGGACAAAGTGAACTGGAGACATGATCCAGTGTCTGTTGTCCATCAAGTGTCAATTTTTCTGCTTGAATTACTTAATTGTACTTACCAAAAGGCATAGATTCATGACATTTGACTTGACCCACAGTCAAGGTCATAAGGTTTATTAAAGCCTCCAAATGATAATTGATGAAACAAAATGGCCTACAGTCACAATATTTGGCTAGAAGGTTGCAAAAATAAAGCTGGACAAAGTGTGTTGAAAGAAATGTCCTTGACCCAAAACTACAGAGGTCATATTTGTTTAAACATCCAAACAACTTCTGATTAAAGACCTAGAATCATGATACTACACATATTTGGCTGATAAATTTATTGTTGTGAATTGATGCTTTTGGAAAAAAAAATTGAATATTAGGTGAGCAATACTGGCTTATTGGGCATCTTGTTAATATAGATTTAAAAAATTATCTCCTTGTTTTTTTGGCACTAACCCAATGAAAAGTATTGTAATAAGTTAAAAGTCTTTGGTATTTATCAGCATAAAGACTCATAAGATTTGAAATGTGAATTAGCTAACATTGCTATAGTGAGTAGGAGGGATTGTGATTATGATGCTGCAGTCTGCTTCCCTCTCACAACATCCTGGTTAGAACATCCTGTCTTGCAGCATCCTGATTAAAACCATCACTGCCGTATATCTAACCCCCCACCCCCCACCCTAAATCCAAGATTGCTGTATTTCCTCATGTTACAATGTGTTCAGTCATTATACGTGTTAACATATCTGTTTAATCATTTTATCAAGACATTCTCATTTAACATCAGTAAAAAGACCGATAGCGATCAGCAATAATATTCTGGCATTTTTAGTTGTGTGCATTCAATTAATCCATACCTCTTAGCATAGCCTTAAGTGTGGGCATTTTTATGGTGCAATTGTAGGTCTCATGATAATGCTGCCCTGGCCTTACTAGATTCATATAAAACATTGACTGCCCTGATACTACTACATAACAATGATTAGCCAGCCTCATACTTGTTTATTCTCATCCCGGTATGTAAACAGTAACCTGACCTGCTTACACACTCCTCGTCCTGTAAGTTTCTGCCAGTATGTAGGTATACATTCTCATCACAGCTTCTGAGGTTTGCTGTCGTCACTGGCATATATAGATTTAATTGTTTCTTGACACCTCTATGTGTGTCTTGCAACATGTGTTTGGGTCTCTTAACATTCATGATTGTGTCTCACAACAGTGTTTGGGTCTCGCCACACCTGTACAGAAGTAGATTCTTCTATAGGATGAACCTGTGTTTGTGTCTCACCACACCTGTACAGAAGTAGATTCTTCTATAGGATGAACCTGTGTTTGTGTCTCACCACATCTGTACAGAAGTAGATTCTTCTATAGGATGAACCTGTGTTTGTGTCTCACCACACCTGTACAGAAGTAGATTCTTCTATAGGATGAACCTGTGTTTGTGTCTCACCACATCTGTACAGAAGTAGATTCTTCTATAGCAGGTCCTGATGCATCATAGTCACAATTCTTTCATATTAGAAAGAAAATAAGAAAATATTAAGATGAAACTGAACAACTGATTTTATTCTACCTGTGTGTGTTCATTATAAACTATTATCAGTGATGAATATTGTTTCAGCATTACGTTGTAGTGTTGTTTGTAGATGTTGGTGCACCACATACATTTAGTAGTTTGTGTTTTTCTTTTAATAGTCATACCCAGTGAAATTTTCTATTGTAATAATTTCTGGTAGAGGAAAGATTTGTTCAATAACATATGTTTGTGTTGTTATTGATTTAATAAGCGTTTGCTGTAGTTTCATTTATTAGAAAAAAACTTAATCTTGAAGAATGAAGTGTATATTTGATGATTGGGTATAGATGTAGAGAAGGGACAGAAACAAATGTCTACTAGTACAGCATTAGGATGTAGTGATAACTTAGGTTTGGGGAATTGTTAGCTTTGTTATAAACCATTTTTTATCACAGTTGTTGGAACAAATTAAAATCATTGACACTTATAAATCAACTAGCAAGGTTTCTTTTTATTTTTTTTAGAAATATGGACATGAGTAGTCAAGTTTGTAGCTAGATTTTGTTGCTTTTTTTGTCAAAACTTGTTGTTTGTAGAATAGTATCCCTAATTATGCATAGTTTGAAAATGAGTCTCAGCGCCATTCCATTTAATGAGTTTGTTTTAGAAATTGTAATGTTGTTTGCCTCGTCTGATTAGAATTCTTTGATCATGTGTTATTGCTGCATTCATTGGTGTATGAATTGACATGTATTCGGATATCATACCATTTTCTTCTTACACTTCAACTTTCATATTTATGCAAAAAGAATACTTAGTTGTACTTGAAATTAAATGAGTATTCCTTTTCCCTTGTATCAGCTTTTCATATGAAATAGCTCTGTAATTATATTTATACTATAGTATTTAAGATAGTTGAGTGCTTCATACCACCAGTCAACAAATGGGTAGCAAAACATACAGCTTCAGGAAACATCGTTAGAAGTCAATGTTTATCTCAAATTGTTTTGTCCCGATTTCAAATTCCTGTACAAGTAAAGAAAACTGTATTCATTTTGAGAAATGGCTGTTTAATCATGAAACGGTGGATATGTATGCCTCGTTTAGATATATGGGCAGAGGATAAGACAAATACTATCAATATACTTTGATGGTTAAGGGGTAGAGCAGATTTCTTCACCTGTTTATTGGACTGGACAGTTGAACCAACAATTGTCAATGCTTTATCACTACTCAGGGTAGGATTAAACGAGTGAATCTGAGAGCCCTGTGTATAACATATTTTTGCCCTCTATAGATGGGAAGTTTGCCATATCAATATTGAAGATATCCAAAGTTTGATGATAATATTAGCTTGCCTTGTTTATTATTAACAATATTTACATCATCATTTGTCAGACATTACATTTTCTATACCATCGCATCATTAACACGTGTCTTGTATAGAGCTCCAATTGATCCAGTCTGTCATCAAAATACCTCTCTACACAGCTGTCTCACTACCTACTGATTACCATGCTCGTTCTACTAATTCAATGTTTTTATAGGAAATTCTGTGATCTGTGATGGTTACAAAATTTGGTCATCTACTGCATCCATACTGGTCCGACTTCATTTTGATGAATTATATTGTGTAATTATTAAATAAGAGTTTTCAATAATGTCACATTGTTATAATCCTGTAACTTTGCTGTAAATTTCTGTTAAGTAAATATCTTTATAGAGAATTTTAATATTGCATGGATGTGCACCTACGTAAGGGAGATTTCTAATACAACATGGTTGTTGAGTACTGACAGGGGAGGGGGCTGGTACACAGGTTTCTTTGTCTATAGACTTGTTTATATGCGGGTATACTAATCACATTGATGGCATTCTTTGATAATACTGTAACTTTTGTTAAAATTTGTCATTGTGGTATGGACGCATGTTAGTTATCAAGTTCATTTAGTGTTTTTTTGAAACAAGATAACATTCATTGTCAAATTGAAAAGAAAAAAAACAACCAAAAAAAAAAAAAAAAACTAGGTTACTAGCTTTTCTTGATAATTGTCACATCCAGATATGTTCAGTTGTACACTATTCTCATCGAGATTTTTATCCTCGTTATCATAGTTATATATATATATATATATATATTTTGCCATATCATATCAGGTTTTTTATTATAACATTTTAACACCACAATAAGGTTATCTTTTATGAGGTGTGTGTGTGTGTGTTTTACTTTCCATACATGGAGAATTGTAGTGTAACTGTTACCCCGAGTTTGATCTCAATTATAATCGGTTTTATGTTAATCAATTGTAAGGGTTTGTTTGTATAATTTCTTAGACATTTCCTTTTTTAAGTAATTTTTTTTCTCACTTTTTCTTGACACACTCTTGCATTGATATAGATAGAAGGTAGAAGAGAAGTTAGACAAGGCAGGTTTTGTCAAAGAAACTTGTGTTTAGAATGATTAAAAAGTAAAGAGACCACCATCAGATTATCAACACAAGTATGGAAGTTTGTATCCTCACAAAGCTTTCTTAACATGGAAGAAAAGGAAAGATGAATTACTTGTGATTGAAGAGAGTTTGACATGCCTGTGTGGTGAATCGGATGTAGATTTGTAAGAGTGTTGCCAACATTTTAGAGTTTGTGTTTATTATGACTGGCTTTATCTACTGTTCCTTCTTCACCCTATGATTTACTACTCATTTCGTCTAGTCAGTGTTAGACCTTGGTTACACCTAGTTAATATCCTGTGTGCTATATCTCGCCGTAGTCACCCTAGTACATAACCTTTATTTTATATTTATTATCATTTATGTAGTAGATGAATTTTAGCATTTAAGAATACAGGAGGAGTGACTAGAAACTGCGTCAAAGCTTGCTGATGGAGATAGGGTTTGGCTTAGACACACCTTTTTAGCCTCGTTTTGATATTATGGTTGTCTGCAATTTTACTTACCTTTATGTAGTTCATTATTTTGTTGTCTTTTGAAATACATAAATTTGATTTAAATTCAGTAGCAAATTGCTTGTCATACAATTTAATATTCAGAATACTTTTTTTTTCTTTTTTAACTTGTCTGGTCTGTAGCACCATGTGAACTTTCACATTGGTAGAGTGCCCACAGTCTGTCAAATCTGGTACAGTGACCGGTCAGTCCAACCATGATCATTGACTGTAAATTTGAGCTATGATGCAGTAGTTGCCTCTGACTCTGTAAATTTTAGCTATGGTGCAGTGCCCATTGACTGTAACTTTGAGCTATGGTGCATTGCCCATTGACTGTAACTTAGAGCTATGGTGCAGTGCCCTCTGACTCTGTATATTGAGTTATGATGCAGTGCCCTCTGACACTGAATATGAGCTATGATGCAGTGGCCTCTGACACTAAATTTGAGCTGTGGTGCAGTGCCCTCTGGCTCTGTAACTTTGAGCTATGGTGCAGTGCCCTCTGACTGTAACTTTGAGCTATGGAGCAGTGCCCTCTGACTGTAACTTTGAGCTATGGAGCAGTGCCCTCTGGCTCTGTAACTTTGAGCTATGGTGCAGTGCCCTCTGACTCTGTATATTGAGTTATGATGCAGTGCCCTCTGACACTAAATATGAGCTGTGGTGCAGTGCCCTCTGACACTAAATATGAGCTGTGATGCCGTGGCCTCTGACACTAAATTTGAGCTGTGGTGCAGTGCCCTCTGGCTCTGTAACTTTGAGCTATGGTGCAGTGCCCTCTGACTCTGTATATTGAGTTATGATGCAGTGCCCTCTGACACTAAATATGAGCTGTGATGCAGTGGCCTCTGACACTTAATTTGAGCTATGGTGCAGTGCCCTCTGGCACTGTATATTGAGTTATGATGCAGTGCCCTCTGACTCTGTATATTGAGTTATGATGCAGTGCCCTCTGACACTAAATATGAGCTATGAGGCAGTGGCCTCTGACACTAAATATGAGCTATGAGGCAGTGGCCTCTGACACTAAATTTGAGCTGTGGTGCAGTGCCCTCTGACACTAAATATGAGCTATGATGCAGTGGCCTCTGACACTAAATTTGAGCTGTGGTGCAGTGCCCTCTGACACTAAATTTGAGCTGTGGTGCAGTGGCCTCTGACATTAAATTTGAGCTGTGGTGCAGTGCCCTCTGACACTAAATATGAGCTATGATGCAGTGGCCTCTGACACTATATTTGAGCTGTGGTGCAGTGCCCCCTGGCTCTTTAACTTTGAGCTATGGTGCAGTACCCTCTGACTGTAACTTTGAGCTATGGAGCAGTGCCCTCTGGCTCTGTAACTTTGAGCTATGATGCAGTGCCCTCTGATACTAAATTTGAGCTATGGTGCAGTACCCTCTGACTGTAACTTTGAGCTATGGAGCAGTGCCCTCTGGCTCTGTAACTTTGAGCTATGGTGCAGTGCCCTCTGATACTAAATTTGAGCTATGGTGCAGTGCCCTCTGATACTAAATTTGAGCTATGGTGCAGTGCCCTGTGATACTAAATTTGAGCTATGGTGCAGTGCCCTCTGATACTAAATTTGAGCTGTGGTGCAGTGCCCACTTTCTGGTCATTATCTTTTGCTATAGTATGTTGCTGATAGCTTGACCCTAATCATCAGCTTTTCATTTGACAGAATTTGATATTGATCATTTTCATCTGTCGGGGAAGAAATTTGACTACCATAAGCATAATCTTTACTTTGAACATACTCAGGTTTTAGGAATGATCTTGGATAGAAAATGGCTGCTTTATCTTCTGAGGGGCACAGAAGTTAGGGATTAATTCCCAATTTCAGGGGATCAGTTTTGGTCAAACAATTAGACGGTGACATTGGCATTTTAAATGATATTTAATCCTTTGTATCTAAAATAGCTTTGGTTGCCTGGCTAAGTAGATATAAAAAGCAACAGGTGACCAAGTGCAGATCTGATGGGCCTCTTTAGATAGACTCTGTACAGAGCTTTTACAGAGCTGATGGGCCTCTTGTTTATACAGACTGTACATGTCTGATGGGCCTCTTGTTTTGACAGACTGAGTACAGGTCTGATGGGCCTTTTGTTTATAGACTGTAAAGAGCTGATGGGCCTCTTGTTTATACAGACTGTACGGGTCTGATGGGCCTCTTGTTTATACAGACTACAGGTCGGATGGGCCTCTTGTTTTGACAGACTGTTTACAGAGCTGATGGGCCTCTTGTTTATACAGACTGTACGGGTCAGATGGGCCTCTTGTTTTGACAGAGTGAGTACAGCTCTGATGGGCCTCTTGTTTATACAGACTGTACAGGTCTGATGGGTCTCTTGTTTTGACAGACTGTTTACAGAGCTTAGGGGCCTCTTGTTTATACAGACAGTACAGGTCTGATGGGCCTCTTGTTTATACAGACTACAGGTCGGATGGGCATCTTGTTTTGACAGACTGTTTACAGAGCTTAGGGGCCTCTTGTTTATACAGACAGTACAGGTCTGATGGGCCTCTTGTTTATACAGACTACAGGTCGGATGGGCATCTTGTTTTGACAGACTGTTTACAGAGCTTATGGGCCTCTTGTTTATACGGACTGTACAGATCAGATGGGCCTCTTGTTTTGACAGACTGAGTACAAGTCTGATGGGCCTTTTGTTTAAATACTTTTGTACAGGTCTGATAGGCCTTTTGTTTAGACAGACATCACTATTACATTATTGAAGTGAACACACCTCTCATTTTTGTGATTATCCTTCATTTTAACAACTGCAATTTTAAATTTCATACTTGTTGACTTTGATGTCTGCATTGTTGGAAGTGTGAATTGGAGTTAAGCTTGTTGTAATTCAGCACTTAAGATTTGGTTAAAATTCTTTCTCTGTAAAAGAGTATGAAATTTCACATCAAGGTGGTCGTTTGAGTAAATTATGTCTGGTGATATAGTTTAGAGAAATCAACAGTCTACACAGAAGGAATATAGACATAAGGTACTGGCCACCCCTTCATCCTCACATTATTATGGTTCTGCCAAATAGGGGCCAGGAAGGAAGGACTTAATGAGGTTACCTTCATCTCTTCAATACACACTTCCACCAACCAAGTACTATCATTACGCCCATATTATTGCACATCCATTGCCTGTTTTGACTTTTATGATTTGTCGTTTTTTGTGTTTAACCATAATCATTGTTGTATTATAACACTGGTGTGCAATATTTCCAGTACTGACAGATAGGTGTCACGATAGAGTCACTAGGGGGCGCTGTATGTTGCTAACTTGTGATGGTAGTTTCCAGCAGGAGTAAAACATGAGATGGTTGATCTATCAGATAACATTCACAGTGGGATCAATAGCACTATTAAAATTGAATTCACCATTTAACAAATGTGTTATTTTGTTTATTGTACATACAGAGAGCACATTATTCTCAGTAAGACTCTTAGTATGTATAATGTGTTCATGTGTCCATTAAAAGTTTCGAATAAATCTGTTGTGCTCAGCTTTTTACTAAATACTGATTTAAGTCAGTCTTTGAAAGCTACCTCCATATAACAATCACCTGCCTAGAAAGGTCACCTACATGTACAAACCAGCTGTGAATAAAAATTATTGCTATATAAATTCTACCTCCGTTCAAAGGCCACCTGTGTATAAAGGTCACTGCTTTATAAATTAACCTCTATATAAAGACCACCTGTGTTTAAAGACATTTTGCTCTTGTGAGTAGCCTTTATTGGCAGGTTCAACTACATCATTAGGTATTGGTGAGTACAAACAGAACTACCCCACGGATTTCTACTGCCTGTTATAATCATTCCTCTCTATGAACTTGTTAAAATGAAGAGGACACCATGCAGCTTGTAAATCAATCTAATGAAAAGGTCCACAACAGGACAACAAAGGCAATGGTATTACCTGGTCTTTGATTTGAATGAATTAATTCTTTTCACTTTAAATGAGTGAAGGAAAAGAAGTGAAAAACTTCAGGATAAAGATATTACTGAATAAAGCGCATCATTATCATAAACTGCAATGTTTATACTTAAACATGAGATATACATAAACCATGATACATACATTCAGTGGAAGGGACTTTATACTATGATAAGACATCAAATTCTGATAGGTTGTGGAAGATGAAGGCTGATACTGGAAACGAAGTCCAGCTATTTCTGGAGAAATACTGGATGGATCTCTCTAATTTCCTTAGTAGGTTCTGCTTTGTCCCTAGTTGTGCCCATTTGATTTTGGGACTGATCAGAAAAACAAAATGGACAGCAGGTGGCCATCCAGGTTTTTGACTTTTCCCTTAATTCCTAGGTGTGTCGGTTTGATTTTGGTACTGATAGGAAAAGACAATGGCCTCAAGGTGGCCATCTTGGATTTTGACTTTGAAAGTTTGTTATCGATATTTCTTGTAAAATACTGAATAGACGAGGATTTGGCCTACTAATAGTTGTTATCCCTTTTTCTTAAGAAGTACTGAATGTATCTCTCTAAAATTTCTTACGTATGTTTCCTTTGGTCTCTTCTTGTGTCCCTTTTTCTAGGACTGATCAGAACAAAAACTTGGATTTGGCAGGTAAAGATTATCATCGCTATTTCTGCAAAGGAATGTTCAAATTTCTTACCATTAAAAGCAAACACAGAGAAATGATCCAACTTTCAAAGAGCCAATAAAGATCAAACAAAGGTGGATGTCAAGATCCCTCTGGGATCTCTTGCTGGTATATAAAATCTGTCTGTCTGATGATTTCCACTAATTCAAAATAAAATCCTTTGAAGTCTTTCATTAATTAATAATCAAATTGTTGTCCCTTAGATGACTTCCCTTGATTGATCATAAAATCCATGTCTGCACTGGGATTTCCTATCTAGTTTCCCCCCGTTTGACAAAGAGATCGACTTCTTGGAGTTGTATCCCTTTGACCACAGGAATGCCTATCTGTCACTTTGTCCCTCTTACAATGGGATTGACTGCATGGAGTTATGTCCTCTCATGGGAATGACCATATGGAGCTTTCCATCTCACCATCAGAAATCTTGTCCTTTTCAACATGGGATTGATCGACTGGTGAGTTTTAACTTTAACTTACCAGTTTGGAGTCATGTCCCCTGACCATGGAATTGACCAACTAGAGTTCTGTCCTTCATGCAAAGAGATTGACCATATGGTGTTTTGTTTTTTTTAATTGCAACATGTATAAAAAAATCACTCAAAAACAATTGTAATTTTTTTTTTTTTTTTTTTTGTAAAATCTTTATGCAGAAGTAATGGTATATAAAATCTGAATAAAACAGACAGGTAGTCATGATGAGAGAGAAACAGACGGGTAGTCATGATGAGAGAGAACTCTGACTCGTAGCTTTTAACACTGAGACAGTTGACTCATAGCCTCGAACACCCAAGACAGTTGACTCGTAGCCTTGAACACCCACGACAGTTGACTCGTAGCCTCGAACACCCAAGACATTTGACTCATAGCCTCTAACTCCCGAGACAGTTGACTCGTAGCCTCTATCACCTGAGACAGTTTACTCATAGACTCTAACACCTGAGACAGTTGACTCGGAGCCTGGAACACCGCGACTTTTGACTCATAGCCTCTAACTCCCAAGACAGTTGACTCCTAGCCTCTAACACCTGAGACAGTTGACTCAGAGCCTGGAACATCGCGACTTTTGACTCCTAGCCTCTAACACCTGAGATAGTTGACTCATAGCCTCTAACTCCCAAGACAGTTGACTCATAGCCTCTAACTCCCAAGACAGTTGATTCATAGCCTCTAACACCTGAGATAGTGGTTATATTATAAATTGTTATATCTGTCACCTTACTTTTACCACTGTCATATATGAAGGTGTTTTACAGATGGTAACCTTTATACAGATCCCATTATAGTTCTACAGAGACTACAGTGCTTTCCTTGGAGGGAACTTAGCAGTAAAGGGTGAGAATATGTCAGGAATAAGTGAGGGAACCCTGGTAGATTGAGGACTAGACGAATGATTTATCAGGATGAGTACAGCTCAATGAAATGTTTTTAAAATAGCGGTACAACTCTATATATTATATAGTCTCAGATCTGATCATTGAAATGAAGATTCAAGAGACACCTTTTTCTCTGAACTGAGGCAACATATTACAATCCTTCATGAACAAGCAAAAAGACAGTCAACATCTGTATCACCAGATCTGGGTTATCACTTATACTATAGTAAAGACTGCATCTGTACACTGAATGTAGTTCTACTGCTTTAGGAATACAACATACACAGGACATGGACTCATCCTAATGTGTAATGAAACTCTAAACTGTACACAACACCTACTCAAAAACAAGGTATTTTATCAAATACTAAAACTGAACTAAAACGACAGTATAACTAAATTTGATGGTTATTACTCACACAGAGATGATACAAGGATCCACACAACTAATCTCCTGTTCTACAAATGAGTGATCACAAATATACAATTATCATAAATACTATCCAGCCTACCAAACATGCATTTAACCAAAACCTCAGACAACAGTCCAGGTAGTGACATACTTCTGCATTATTTGATGATGTTCCTTAGATGCTGAAGACAGGATGACTTGTATAAGGAAAATGATTCTAACAAGGGAGATAACTCTAAGAAGACCAGTAGCAAACAACTCAAATTCATAAATCATTCCTTGAATTGCACATGTTTAGAAGAAAATTCATAAAGGAACCATTTTACGTAAATCACAGTGCTTAATTAACAGATGGCGTGGAAGTACACACATCATGCTTAATTAACAGATGGCGTGGAAGTACACACATCATGCTTAATTAACAGATGGCGTGGAAGTACACACATCATGCTTAATTAACAGATGGCGTGGAAGTACACACATCATGCTTAATTAACAGATGGCGTGGAAGTACACACATCATGCTTAATTAACAGATGGCGTGGAAGTACACACATCATGCTTAATTAATAGATGGCGTGGAAGTACACACATCATGCTTAATTAACAGATGGCGTGGAAGTACACACATCATGCTTAATTAACAGATGGCGTGGAAGTACACACATCATGCTTAATTAACAGATGGCGTGGAAGTACACACATCATGTGGAGCTAACAGATGGTGGAAGTACACACATCATGTTTAGCTAACAGATGGCGTGGAAGTACACATGTGATATGAGTGGGTTGGTGAGGCTTGGTATAGAGTGTTAAATAGTCTCCGTCAGTCAACTGACAGAGCATGCTTTTTGGCTCAGCTGGTATAGCCCGTTGATTTTCGTGCCAGAGACGTGGTTTGATTCCTGGTTGGGGCACTTGTCAAGAATGTGCATTTCACCTGTCCTTTCACACACACACCAGCTTTGAGTTGATAAAGTTCACTGAAGAATCACAATTTGAAAATGCAAGAGTAACGTTTCTAATGAATATTCCTTGCGAGAAATGTCATTTGATTACAGAGTACTGTCCAAATAGTACAAATTAATGCACTAAGCAGATGATAAGCTAAATAAAAAGATTAGTAAAACTCCGTAAAATATTAAAACAATATGGTAAAAAAATCTCCACCATGTAAAGATACATAGTGAAATAAAGAAGCATGTTACCTCCACAAAAATTATCAACAGATTCTAAAAAAAGTGTTTTTAACAGTGTATCAATGCAATGGTTTCAATGTAAACATAACGTCTCTTGCACTTGGACAGACATACAAAGCCATGTATGCAGTCAAATAATACACAAATATCACAGAGTACAGGGAGATCCCTCATCTATAAGTCATTCTATAAAAGTCATGTACAACTTTCACAGACATCAAAGGTGGATTACATAATCTGTTCCACATTCCATGTCTAGGAATGTGGATTACATAATCTGTTCCACATTCCATGTCTAGGAATGTGGATTACATAATCTGTTTTACATTCTATGTCTATGAATGTGGATTACATAATCTGTCTTACATTCTATGTCTAGGAACGTGAATTACATAATCTGTTCCACATTCCATGTCTATGAACGTGGATTACATAATCTGTTCCACATTCCATGTCTAGGAACGTGAATTACATAATCTGTTCCACATTCCATGTCTAGGAACGTGGATTACATAATCTGTTCCACATTCCATGTCTAGGAACGTGAATTACATAATCTGTTCCACATTCCATGTCTAGGAACGTGGATTACATAATCTGTTCCACATTCCATGTCTAGGAATGTGGATTACATAATCTGTTCCACATTCCATGTCTAGGAACGTGAATTACATAATCTGTTCCACATTCCATGTCTAGGAACGTGGATTACATAATCTGTTTTACATTCCATGTCTAGGAATGTGGATTACATAATCAGTTTTACATTCCATGTCTAGGAATGTGGATTATCCAGATTCCACTGGACCTTTTTACCTGTCCTAACATTTAAAATATCAATTTATTACATAGAATCATCACAGATGTGACATGTATGTCTTTTCCTGCTCCAAAGGACTGACATAAAGGACCACATCACTCTGTAAGTTGTTGAAGGAATGAAAAACATTTTTTACCTGACAAACTTACATTAACAGATGTATAAATACAAAAGATTACCTAGCTTTTTGGCTGTTAACACTATATGTGTGGTATCTAGTATCTAATGCATCTTTTACAATTAAATTATCAAACAATAAAAACGGATACCAAAAGTGATTACGGTGTTAATAAGCAGTAAATGTATAAACTTGATAACTGTAGCTACAGGCTGTCACTGATATCAACAGATTTACATCATCATCCCCATATGTTCATATCTAGAATTCCTAGGAGGTATTCAGACGCTGGAGCTCATTGCGAATGGCTTGCAGGTACCTTCCTTCACTTTCTTGTTGAATATTTTCATCATTACTCTCTCTCTTTTCTGCATTGTCCTTTTCCTCGGGGACATCTTTCCTGCTTGTATCAAAGAAATCTCCATTGTCTGCCTGAGAGCTGTTTCTCCGTGAAGACTGATGTGACACTCGTCCATCAGTCAGTATCTGGTTGAGGGCTGAGGTGTTTGAACCAAACTTATCCTTATCATCATTCATTTGCGATAGATACCCATCATTTGTTTGGGTAGTGTCACCCACATCAGGCTTTTTCTCATTATCTAAAACTCCATTAGTTACTGATACTAAATGTTTGTGTGTATTTCCAGCCAATGGAAATGCATCGTTGAGTAATTGTTTCATCTGCTTGGTGTCTTTGCTGGCCATTTTCTGTTCATCAAATCTGTCATGTAGAAGAGCTCGATTCACTACCTGTTGTGCATGTTGTTTTATTTTCTGTTCCTCAAGGAATCGATGGCGTTGTTCTCGTTGTTGAAGCATCAGATGTTGCTGTCTGTTAAGCATTTCAATGAGGTCCTGAAACAACAATAGTTTTATTACATTTAACAACAACGCTATGTTGATGATACTCTTCATACTGACAATATCTTAGACAAACACTTTTTGAGTGTATTTGGTTCTCATACTGGTATTTTTACATGACAAATCAAGGAAAACAAAGGTAACTCCAGGTAAGTCATTTATCTACACAGGTAAGTCATTTATCTACACAGGTAAGTCATTTATCTACACAGGTAAGTCATTTATCTACAGGTAAGTCATTTATCTACACAGGTAAGTCATTTATCTACAGGTAAGTCATTTATCTACAGGTAAGTCATTTATCTACACAGGTAAGTCATTTATCTACACAGGTAAGTCATTTATCTACAGGTAAGTCATTTATCTACACAGGTAAGTCATTTATCTACACAGGTAAGTCATTTATCTACACAGGTAAGTCATTTATCTACAGGTAAGTCATTTATCTACACAGGTAAGTCATTTATCTACAGGTAAGTCATTTATCTACAGGTAAGTCATTTATCTACAGGTAAGTCATTTATCTACAGATCAGTCATTTTTCTACACAGGTAAGTCATTTATTTACACAGGTAAGTCATTTATCTACAGGTAAGTCATTTATCTACACAGGTAAGTCATTTATCTACAGGTAAGTCATTTATCTACACAGGTAAGTCATTTATCTACAGGTAAGTCATTTATCTACACAGGTAAGTCATTTATCTACAGGTAAGTCATTTATCTACAGGTAAGTCATTTTTCTACAGGTAAGTCCTTTATCTACAGATCAGTCATTTATCTGCACAGGTAAGTCATTTATCATCAAGTAAATCGTTTGCATATAGGTAAGTAAGTTGTTTATAGATTAATCATTCATCTACAGTTTTTAACCTATTTGAGGTAAACATTATTATCAATAAATAATAAACATATAGACAAAATCTTAAGATCCATGAGGTTAAAAAACATACTGTAGGTTTTAACTTTTTATCTCTGGTGAGAACACATTCAATTGATACTGTAGAATTTATTTTCATTTTCTGATAATCATGCACTATAACTAGCAGTTAAGACAGACATGCCAATCACACACAGGGGCAGGGTATCAAAACATAAAACAACCACTTGGGCAGGTTATCAAAATACATATAAACAACTCACTTGGGCAGATTATCAAAATATATCAAAACAACCCACTTGGGCAGGTTATCAAAATATATAAAACAACCCACTGGGGCAGGTTATCAAAATATATATAAACAACTCACTTGGGCAGGTTATCAAAATATATATAAACAACTCACTTGGGCAGGTTATCAAAATATATATAAACAACTCACTTGGGCAGGTTATCAAAATATATATAAACAACTCACTTGGGCAGGTTATCAAAATATATATAAACAACTCACTTGGGCAGGTTATCAAAATATATATAAACAACTCACTTGGGCAGGTTATCAAAATATATAAAACAACCCACAGGGGCAGGGTATCAAAACATAAAACAACCCACTGGGGCAGGTTATCAAAACATAAAACAACCCACTGGGGCAGGTTATCAAAACATAAAACAACCCACTGGGGCAGGTTATCAAAATATATCAAAACAACCCACTTGGGCAGGTTATCAAAATATATATAAACAACTCACTTGGGCAGGTTATCAAAATATATAAAACAACCCACTGGGGCAGGTTATCAAAATATATCAAAACAACCCACTTGGCAGGTTATCAAAATATATATAAACAACTCACTTGGGCAGGTTATCAAAATATATAAAACAACCCACTGGGGCAGGTTATCAAAATATATAGAAACAACTCACTTGGGCAGGTTATCAAAATATATATAAACAACTCACTTGGGCAGGTTATCAAAATATATATAAACAACTCACTTGGGCAGGTTATCAAAATATATAAAACAATCCACAGGGGCAGGGTATCAAAATATATAAAACAACCCACAGGGGCAGGGTATCAAAACATAAAACAACCCAATGGGGCAGGTTATCAAAATATATATAAACAACCCACTGGGGCAGGTTATCAAAATATATATAAACAACTCACTTGGGCAGGTTATCAAAATATATAAAACAACCCACTGGGGCAGGTTATCAAAATATATATAAACAACTCACTTGGGCAGGTTATCAAAATATATAAAACAACCCACTGGGGCAGGGTATCAAAACATAAAACAACCCACTGGGGCAGGTTATCAAAGCATTAAACAACCCACTGGGGCAGGTTATCAAAATATATAAAAACAACCCACTGGGGCAGGTTATCAAAATATATCAAAACAACCCACTGGGGCAGGTTATCAAAATATATCAAAACAACCCACTGGGGCAGGTTATCAAAATATATAAAACAACCCACTGGGGCAGGTTATCAAAATATATCAAAACAACCCACTGGGGCAGGTTATCAAAATATATCAAAACAACCCACTGGGGCAGGTTATCAAAATATATAAAAACAACCCACTGGGGCAGGTCATCAAAATATGTAGAAACAACCCACTGGGGCAGTTTATCAAAATATATAAAACAACCCACTGGGGCAGGTTATCAAAATATATCAAAACAACCCACTGGGGCAGGTTATCAAAATATATAAAAACAACCCACTGGGGCAGGTTATCAAAATATATATAAACAACTCACTGGGGCAGGTTATCAAAATATATCAAAACAACCCACTGGGGCAGGTTATCAAAATATATAAAAACAACCCACTGGGGCAGGTTATCAAAATATGTAGAAACAACCCACTGGGGCAGGTTATCAAAGCATTAAACAACCCACTGGGGCAGGTTATCAAAATATGTAGAAACAACCCACTGGGGCAGGTTATCAAAATATATAAAAACAACCCACTGGGGCAGGTTATCAAAATATGTAGAAACAACCCACTGGGGCAGGTTATCAAAGCATTAAACAACCCACTGGGGCAGGTTATCAAAATATATTAAAACAACCCACTGGGGCAGGTTATCAAAATATGTAGAAACAACCCACTGGGGCAGGTTATCAAAATATGTAGAAACAACCCACTGGGGCAGGTTATCAAAATATGTAGAAACAACCCACTGGGGCAGGTTATCAAAATATGTAGAAACAACCCACTGGGGCAGGTTATCAAAATATATCAAAACAACCTACTGGGGCAGGTTATCAAAATATGTAGAAACAACCCACTGGGGCAGGTTATCAAAATATATCAAAACAACCTACTGGGGCAGGTTATCAAATTATGTAGAAACAACCCACTGGGGCAGGTTATCAAAATATGTAGAAACAACCTACTGGGGCAGGTTATCAAAATATGTAGAAACAACCCACAGGGGCAGATTATCAAAATATATATAACAACTCACTGGGGCAGGTTATCAAAATAAATAACAAGAGGCCCATGGGCCTTAACGGTCATCTGACAAAAAGTAAGCCAAACTCTAACAACAGTGAGTCTGCTGTTAAAACAGTGGGCTTTATTCATTTGAATAAACTTGGTAGCCCTTCCTCCCAGCATCCTACAAGCCCAATATCAGCACTCTGAGCCTTTTGGTTACTGAGAAGAAGTTGTTTACAGATTTTAACATATTTGAACCCTGTGATCTTGAAAGTGGGTCAAGGTCATTCACTTGAACACATTTGGAAACACTTCCTCAAAGCATCCTACAGGCCCAATATCAGCACTCTAATCATTTTGGTTATTGAGAAGTCATTTGCATATTTTAACATATTTAACCCCTGTGGCCTTGAAAGTGGGTCAAGGTCATTCATTTGAACAAATTTGGTAGCATGTCATCCCAGCATCCTACAGGTCCATTATCAGCACTCTTGGAGTTTTGCTTATTGAAGAGAAGTTGTTTGTATATTTTAACATATTTGACCCCTGTGACCTAGAAAGTGGGTCGAGGTAATTCATTTGAACAAACTATTTAGCCCTTCCTCCAAGCATCATACAGGCCCAATATCAGCACTCTTGGAGTTTTGTTTATTGAGAAGAAGTTGTTTGTATATTTTAACATATTTGACCCCTGTGACCTTGAAAGTTGGTCAAGGTCATTCATTTGAACAAACTTTGTAGGGCTCCATGCCAGCATGCTATGGGCCAAGTATTAGCCCCCTAGGCCTTCTAGTATTTGGGAAGAAGTTTTTTGAATGAAAAGTACGGACGACGCACAGCGGACAGCGGACGACAACGGACGAAGCACGATGGCTATAAAACAACCCACTGGGGCAGGGTATCAAAATATATCAAAACAACCCACTGGGGCAGGTTATCAAAATATATATAAACAACCCACTGGGGCAGGTTATCAAAATATATAAAAAAAACAACCCACTGGGGCTGGAAATCAAAATATATATAAACAACCCACTGGGGCAGGTTATCAAAATATATCAAAACAACCCACTGGGGCAGGTTATCAAAATATATAAAAACAACCCACTGGGGCAGGTTATCAAAATACATCAAAACAACCCACTGGTGCAGGTTATCAAAATATATCAAAACAACCCACTGGGGCAGGTTATCAAAATATATATAAACAACCCACTGGGGCAGGTTATCAAAATATGTAGAAACAACACACTGGGGCAGGTTATCAAAATATATCAAGACAACCCACTGGGGCAGGTTATCAAAATATATCAAAACAACCCACTGGGGCAGGTTATCAAAATATATAAAAACAACCCACTGGGGCAGGTTATCAAAATATGTAGAAACAACCCACTGGGGCAGGTTATCAAAATATATCAAAACAACCCACTGGGGCAGGTTATCAAAATATGTAGAAACAACCCACAGGGGCAGGTTATCAAAATATATCAAAACAACCCACTGGGGCAGGTTATCAAAATATATCAAAACAACCCACTGGGGCAGGTTATCAAAATATGTAGAAACAACCCACTGGGGCAGGTTATCAAAATATATCAAAACAACCCACTGGGGCAGGTTATCAAAACATATAAAAACAACCCC